TGGGACTCGATCCCGGGACTCCAGGATCATGACCTGAGCCGAAGGCAGTCGCTTAACCAACTGAGCCACCCAGGCGCCCTTTCAGCCATATTTCTTTGTCCATCCTTAACATTTGCTATTGAGGTTCTGACATGTTGCTCACTTACTCAAGCCAATGTATCTTTGCATCTCAAATTTTCTTTGGGGCTCCCTTCCTTTCCTTCTCTTATCTGTTTATTTCATGACTCATCCATCCCAGGTATCGCAGCTCCACTCACACTTTTCCTGACCCCATCACTTTAATTATAGTCTTGCCTCTTCTAACATGTTACTCTGCATACATTGGTTGCAGCACTATATTAGAATTGTTTGTCTGTGTTCCCAACATATTGTTTTTATTCTTTATTTTTTTTTAAGTAGGCTCTATTCCCAAAGTGGGGCTTGAACTCACAACCCCAAGATCAAGAGTTGCATGTTCTACCCACTGAGGCGGCCAGGTGCCCCCCACCATACTGTTTTTAGAGTAGTCCATTCATTCATTCAACATACATATGCATTGACCACATTTTAGGCAGTATCCTAAGGATGCATATGTATGCTGAACAAATGGGCTATTCTAAGGACAATATATAGAATCTGTAATTGGCAACTAAAACCTTTAACGTACATGCAGATTTATTCTCCCTTTATTCTTTAAATCAGTAGGAAACCACAATGTTCATAAGAAGAAATAACCTTTTTTTTAAAAAAAAAGATTTTATTTATTTATTTAATTGACAGAGAGACAGCGTGAGGGGGAACACAAGGAGGGGGCATGGGAGAGGGAGAAGCAGGCTTCTGGCCCAGCAGGGAGCCTGATGCGGGGCTCGATCCCAGGACCCCAGGATCATGACCTGAGCTGAAGACAGTCGCTTAACCAACTGAGCCACCCAGGGGCCCCAAGAAGAAATAACTTTTTAAAAACTTAAATCCCCAACAGTTCTACCTTTAAAAGTAGATATTTTTTCCATTTGTTGAAGGTAAAATGGCATGCATAGATATCCCTAGCTTAGGATTTGAAAATAACTTTTCAGTTTGGGACAAAAAACAAACATTGTTTTTTTGGTGGGTTTTTTTTTTTTTTTTCAGTCTGTGCCTATGTGTTTACAGAATACTTAACCATTTTTACCATGATATTTTTAAAAATATGTTTTTTTAATTTTTTTTTTAAGTAATCTCTACTTTCAACTTGGGGCTCTAACTCATGATCCCAAGACCAAGATCATGTGCTCTACTGTCTGAGCCAGCCAGGTGCCCCTACCATGATATTTTAAAGACAAGAAGAGATGTGAATTCAGAAGTTAATAAAATGCTTTTTGTTCATATACTTTGTTTAAAGAAGCATAGTATAACGAAATAAAGCATTCAGGTTATTAAACTTGAACATTTGTTCAAAGACAAATTTGAACCAAAACCACAGGAAGTCATTCATTCAGCATGTAATTATTTTCGTGTACTGCTGGGAACTATTTTGGCATAGGGTGTAACAGTGAATGGGATAGACAAGGTCCCTACATGTGGAGGGAGATAGAAAATAAATAAATAAATTTTAAGAATAAGATTTCAGGTAGTGATAAGGGCTGTAAAGAAAAGAAAACAGGGTGATGTGCTTGATAGAGTGTGCTTGGAAGCCCTGCTTTAGCGAGAGTGGTCAGAGAAGGCCTCTTGCAGATTGGACTTTTTTTTTTTTTTTTTTGGAGCTTGGACTTTTGAGCTGAGCCCTGAATGATGAGGATGGGTCAGTCTGCAAAGAACTGAGGTTTGAGTAGTCCAGGCTGAAAGATGCTTGAATGCAGGGTCTGCAAGGCAATAACAACTTTGTTTTTTTTCTAAAACTGTCAGGTCAGTGTGGCTCTTTAGTGTGCATGAGGGAGATGAACTTGGAGAGGTAGGCTAGAAGGAATTTTGGATTTTATTCTGTTGTAATAGGAAGCCAAAGGAGGATTTGAAGGAGGAGAGTGACATGATCTAATTTGTGTTGTAATAAAATCTTTATATCTATAGTGTGGAGAATGTACTGTGGGGAGACAAGAATGGAAGCAAGGAGACAGGTGGCTGTTAAGTTGGTCCAGGTAAGAAATGATAGTGTTTGGACTGGAATGGTAACAGGAGAAATGGAAAGAAGTGAACAGATTCAAGATGTATTTTGGGAGTAGAGTTGATAAGACTTCTAATGTAGTGGATATTAACAGTGAAGAAAAGATTCAAGTGAAATCATTTTAAGCAGAACCACAAATAAGCATTCCTAAATTCCCCAGAACAAATGGAAAACAGGGAACTACTTATGATTCAATGTCTAT